TGCCGGCGCCTCCGCGCCCCTGAGACGCCGGGAAAGCGGGGTGCCCCGTCAGCGGGGGTGCGGGAGCGCGACGCCCGTGGCCACCTGGGCCCCGCTGCGGCCCCGGCTCTGCGATGCCCCTCCCGAGCCACCGGCGCTTCCCGGCCTTCCCCTCACGGGCAGTGAGTCACAGGTGCGCACGCCTTCCAATCCAGGTGTCATGGTGGGAGGTCCCCGCCAATTTACGTATCAGAGAAGGAACAACATGCGGCAGGTTGGACAGACGCGGTGGCAAGTCTCAGGCATGTCCTGATTTCCCGAGAGAGAATGTGCCTCAGGGGCTCGGGGGGGGGGGGTGCTCCTGCCCACAGGGCCCGCGCTGCCGCCGGGCGCTCACGGCTCAGGCGGAGTTGCCCTTTCGCCTGCAGGGCGAGGCCGGTCCCTGGGTGACGGCTGCGTGGGGACCTCAGCACCAAACACAACCGGCCAAACCTGCGGGTCGTCGGGGGGAGGAGGGAGCCGGCAGGGCGCACGCAGCCCCGCAGGTTCGCCCCGTGTGCTGCCCAGCAGGCACCTCGGGGAGAGGCAGGAGGGGGCCCGGGGCGTCGGCGGGGAGCGTCCGTGACTTCAGGCAGCGGTCCGAGGCGTTCTGCAAGTGACAGCGGACACGGGCCTGGCAGGACACGCTCGGTGGCCGGGGAGGTGGGCTCCCTGAGGGGAGGCGGGCAGGGGGCCGGCACCGGGCAGTCTCAGGCCGCGTCAGGCTTGGGTTTTACCCGGAGGCTGCGGGAGCCCCGGGTGCGTTCTGAGCCCCGCGGGGACCTGGACCCCTGGGGAGGACAGCCAGGCAGGCCCCTGCGGAGCTGGGGACCCGCTCGGAGGCTGCCGGAGGAGCCCAGGTGGGGCGGACGCTCGGATGGGGGTGGCAAGGGGGACACCTCTGGTTGCGCCTGGAAGGCGGGACGGCGTTTAAGAGGAAGCGGACGGGGTTCGGCCCGCAGCCGGTCTGGGGAGGGGCAGGCTGGGGGCGGAGGGCCCTGGTCTTCCCTCAGGAAGTGGTGGAGGTGACCCGAGACAAGGTCGTGAGGGCTTGGGAGTCAAGGTCTCAGCTCCTGCCCAGTCTCTGCTGGGACTGTCTCTGGTCCTCAGGGCCTGATGGCCGCCGGCCCCGCGAGCAGACCGAGGCCGCCCGGCGTCCCTGCCCCAGGCGACCTCCAGAAACGCGACGCTAGATGGCGCTGCTGCTGCTGCTGCTGCGGACGCCGGTTCCGGCCCCTGAGTGGCCGTGGCCGCAGAACCGGCAGCGGAGCGGGGTGCGCGGGGCAGAGACGCCCGACGCCGGCCTGGCGGGTCCCCGCGGCCGGGGGGGAGCCTGCGCACGCCCCGCGCAGCCCGCCGCGGACTGGCCGCCGGCTGCCCCACGAGCCTGGGCAGGACCCTCGGACGTGGCCCCCGGCCCCCGTCTTGGCCCTCCGGCTCCGCCCCGCCCCCAGGCCCCGCTTCCTCATCTGGAAGACAGAAGTGACCGCTTTCCCCCTCCAGGCGACTGTCCAGACAGGAGGGCGGCCCCGGTGACCCCATTTTCCAGCTTCTCAGGGGCGACAGCCCCTCAGGCCCCTGCCACCTGCTCCCAGGAAGGTGTCACGGCTGCACGTCTGTCCCCGATGCTCCTGTGTGGAAGCCCCAGCCCCAATGGGAGGGCGTTAGGAGGGGGACCCTGAGGCGGCCGAGGTTTAGGTGAAGTCGCAAGCGTCCAGCCCTCCCCAGGGGGCCAGAGTCCGTCTAAGAAGAGACAGGAAGCTTGACGGAGGCCTGAGCCCCGGCCTGCAGTGTTGGTTAGGGTCCCCGAGCCAGGACCAGCGCCTCGGTTTCCCCACCTGGCCCGAGGTCACCCGCGGTGACACGCTTGGTAAACCTGACACCCACGCACATGAGGACGTGTCTGTTTGCTCACAAGGCCGAGTCAGGCTGAGGTCAGCTGGCACCTGCACCCGGCACGTGGCCTCACCTGGGGTCCCTGCCCCCTGCTGTGGCGTGAGCCCTCTGACCTCCTTCCGGGGGACCTCCCGGGGTCTGTCACCGTGGCTGCAGTGTCCCCAGGAGACCCGCAGCCTCTGCAAGTCGTGCCAGGACTGCCAGGGATAAAAACAGACTGTGGCTGAAAACCCACCATTTCACATAAAATCTCTGGGGCTTTCGACAGGGAGCCGGTGCGCGTCCCTCGTTCTGTGACGTTCCCACCGGAGACGCAGAGCCAGGACTCTGCTGTGAGGGCCTTCGGGCGGCAAAGCCGAGGGGCCGTCCCCAGGGTGGCCACCCGCGGCCTTCGGCCCCTGGTGAGCCCGAGGTCGTGAGGTCGCGGCGGTCAGGGAAGGCCCGCGGGGCCGTGCCCACCCCGGAAAGCAGAACCTTGCGCCACGGGTGCACCAGGGACGCTGGCAGGCCCTGTGGGAAGAGGGCATTGGGACCGAGTCCTGGTGCGCGGGGGGCACGCAGAACGGTGCCCGGGGGGCTCTGCCTCTGGGAGTACGCGGTCGCTCCCGATGTGGCCGCACGCTCGCACGGCACGGGACAGGAACACGCCCGCACGTCACGGGACAGGAACACGCCCGCACGACATGGGACAGGAACACGCACATACGTCAGGACAGGAACACGCTCGCACGACACGGGACAGGAACACGCTCGCACGACACGGGACAGGAACATGCTCGCACGTCACGGGACAGGAACACGCACACGGCACAGGACAGGAACACACATGCACATCATGGGACAGGAACACGCACACACGTCACATGGGACAGGAACACGCTCGCACGACACGGGACAGGAACACGCTCGCACGTCACAGGACAGGAACACGCTCGCACATCACGGGACAGGAACACGCTCGCACGTCACAGGACAGGAACACGCATGCACATCACGGGACAGGAACACGCTCGCACGACACAGGACAGGAACATGCTCGCACGTCACGGGACAGGAACACGCACATACGTCAGGACAGGAACACGCTCGCACGTCACAGGACAGGAACACGCTCGCACGACACGGGACAGGAACACGCTCGCACGTCACGGGACAGGAACACGCACGGCACGGGACAGGAACACGCTCGCACATCACGGGACAGGAACACACTCGCATGTCACGGGACAGGAACACGCTCACACGGCACAGGACAGGAACACACATGCACATCACGGGACAGGAACACGCACACACGTCACAGGACAGGAACACGCTCGCACGTCACGGGACAGGAACACGCTCACACGTCACGGGACAGGAACACGCTCGCACGTCACGGGACAGGAACACGCTCGCACGGCACAGGACAGGAACATGTGCGCACGGCACAGGACGTGGAACAGAGCGTCCACAGGTTTGTTCAGGGGCCCAGGCGGAAACTGCCGACGTCATTGCCGGCTCACCCCCAGGACCCAGCGTGGGGATCACCGACTGCCACCCTGTGCCTGCTGTCCACGTTGTCACACGAAACAGTGTTGGTGGGTAAGTTTTATAAACGCGTTTGGCTTTGACACAGCAGAAAGACCGCCACCCACGGGGACAGGCGGGCTCTCGCAGACCCGGTCCCCTGGGCGCTTCCCCAACGTGCAGGCCCCGTGCAGGCCGCTGGGGACAAGCGGGGCCGCTGGGGTGGGGCAGCAGGTCACCCTAAACGAGGGGTCTGACGGGGCGAGGCCCCTCCCTGCTCCAGGGACCGGGTGATGGGCAGGCGGATGTGGGACATGACTGGGCCTGGAGCCTGCTGCCCATTGTGGCGGCCACGCGCCAGGCCCCGCCCTGCTCCCTGGGCGCCGGACGGAGGCCCCATGAGGCGTGGGGCTCTTCCCGCCCGTCCCTCAGGCCGTGGGGGCACCCAGAGGCGGCTCCCACAGCGACTGCAAGCCCAGCGGCGGCCCTGCCCTCTGGCAGGACGCAGCCGCCCCCGTGCCTGCACCTGCGGCTCCCGTCCCCCCCCGCCCCTGTGGGGTCCGCTCCTGCTTGGGGCCCTTCCTGGACGCCCCGCAAAGCAGCGGGCACTGCCCTGCAGGTGGGGGGCCGCTGCGGACCCGCCCCTGAGCTTCCCTCTCAGCCAGCCTCACGGCGGCTGCTCCTCCTGGCTGAACCCCACGGTCGCTCCGGGCACTGAGGCCCCTCACAGCCCAGCGCCCACCCCACAGGAACAGGGGTGAGGGGTCCCCTGCCCCCCGGGTGGGCGGGAGGCTGCCGTCCTGACTTGGAGCCGGGGCAGAGGGAGCTGAGGGCGCGGCAGCTGCCCCCTGGTGTCCTGCGGGCGGCTCACTGGCCTGGTGGCCACGTCCCACACGTCCAGCTGGGGCCCCTTCCGGGGAGCCCCACCACCTGAGTGCTGGCAGGTCCGGGGCCCAGACCTGGGAGACGGCCACCTGCCGGCCCCACCTGGGGGTGCAGGGAGCTGCGCTGAGCAGCGAGGGGGCAGGGAGGTCGTTTGCCAGGAGCCGTCCCGAAGGAGACCCGCAGCTGCCCCAGCTCAGGGCTCGTCTGAGTGTTGGAGGCTGCCTCAAGCAAGGTGATGGCGAGCCGGTGGGGACCAGGGGCAGAGGCCCCCATGGGCAGGTGGACGTCCCAGGGGCCGGGGGCAGTGTGGCTGCAGTGCGGGCGGGGGCGCTGCACGAAGGCTCCAACTCCGCCGGTCCCAGCCCGTGAGCGGGGCCCTGTGACCAGTGTCTGCCGGCCGCAAGGACAACTTCTCCGGGCCCCTGCCTGGCAGGCAGAGGCAGGAAAGCAGAGGCGGGCGCTCCCGTGCCCTCGAGTCAGTGTCATCAGCCGAGAGGGGCCGTGCCCTGGCTGCCGCTCCTCCCAGGGGCTGAAGGGGCGGCTCTGCTCCGGGGCTGCAAGGCTGGGTCCCCACGGCCAGAGGCCCGCCCCCTGGGAGCTCTTGCTTTGGGTGCTGGTGGGCGGGGCACTTGTCCTGGCCCTGGTGGCCCCGGGCTGTGACCGTCGGTCCCCTCGCCGGCTGGCACCAGCTGTCAGAGTGCCAGGGCCCAGGCTGCCGTCCACAGGGAGCTCAGCAGCAGCAGCAGCACGGAGGCCGGCATCGGGCCCCAGGCCCCGGGCGGACGGGCAGCCCCGGAGCTGCAGGCGCACACCTGGTAGCCGTCCTCCGAGTGGCTCCGGTCATGCTGCCCGGGCGGGGCGGGGGCCCCAGCCTCTCCGTCCGCGCCCTCGGTGTCGGCCTGCGGGTCTCTGCAGACCAGCCAGTCCCGGGCCGTGGACTGCGGGTACCCGGATGCCACGGCCAGCTCGCCGTCCAGCACCTTCCAGTACTCCCTGCCGCGGAAGAAGTAGGCGGCGCCTGGGGACGAGAAGGAAAGCAGCTGAGCTGTGCGCGGACCGGCTGCACAGCAGGGGGATGCGGGGCTGGGCTGGGGCCACGGGCAGGCGGGACTGTCTCGCGGGGTCGGTGTCCCCGTCTCAGCCACCCAGGCCTGGGAGGCTCGGGGCGGCCGCCCTCGGCCTCTTTCCTACTGGACACGGTGGGCCCCTTGCGTGCCGGGCCCCCTCGGCGGCGTCGGGGACGTGGCTTTGAAAGCCGAGCAGAGAGGCGTGGCTGAGTGCTGTTCTGTTTTGTTTCTTCCAGTGGCTTGCGCAGCCGGACAGCCACCAAGGTGAAGTCTGCCCTTTGAGGCAGCGCTGACGCTGTGCCAGCATTTCCACGGAGCGTGATTGCCAAGGAGTGGATGCAAACAAACGAGTGAAGAGCTTGTAAGAGCTTCCAAGTGCTAGTTAAGCTCAATCACGCCATTTGATACGTCGCTTGCATTGCTTTCAAATGCATTATTAAATTTGCTGTGGTTACACTACATTCTAAGAAATTAATGGTTCTCACATACGTGTTTTTTTAATTTGTACGCTTCTCATAATTCTACAGTTTCCTTTGTAGCTTAGCGTGTCTCCTCCTCCCCCGCCACCCGGCCCAGCCCTGATCAGACGCCAGCCCCGGGGAGGGCCTCTGCGGGCCGCTCAGCGCTCCCTCGGCCTGGCTGCTTTAACGGCCAATTTTCTGAGATACACAGAAGCGAAAAAGACAATAAAATACACTAGGATGATTCAGCTGGTGATTGTGACAGCTGTTTGATAATGCGGGTTTTTCGTGACGTGGATTTTGAGTGAGTTCGATCAGCTTTCTCCTTAGCACCGGCACGCCCAGGTGCGTTTGGTTTCCCTGGAAAGGAGGCTTGAACACCTGAAGTTTCGGGGGCGGGGGGAGAGGGCTCTGAAGAGGGTTTACAGTGCAAGGGGCACGCGCGAGTGCGAGCCTTCTTTCCGTTTACGTCACGCTGCAGTCAGCGCCATGACTGTCTCTTAATAATCGGATACACTTCACATACTGTGCACCTGACTATCAAGTCTTGGGCCTGGTGTTTTATTTTTTAAAAGATTTTATTTTTAGAGAGAGGGAACACGAGGGAGAAAGAGAAGGCGAGAAACGTTGGTTAGTGAGAGAGACACGGATCGGTTGCCTCTTGTATGTGCCCCGACCAGGGCCTGACCCTGCAGCGCAGGCCTGCGCCGTGACCGGGAATCAAACCCGCGGCTCTTCACTGTGCGGGACTCCGCCCAGCCCACTGAGCCACGCCCATCAGGGCAGGCCCCGCGCTGAAGAGGGTTGCACTGGCTCTGGCTGGTAGCTCAGGGCTCAGGCGGTGAGAACGTCGTCCGGCCGCACGGAGGCCGCGGGTCCGGCCCCGCATGTCGGGGCCCGGGCGAGGACCAGCCGCTGACACACGAGTCAGCGGGACAACAAACCAACGTTTCTCTCTCTGACTCTCTCTTCTTCTTTCTCTAAAATGACTAAATTACTTTAAAAGATAACTTGTAAAAATAAATAACACAGAGAAGATTTGCCTTTTTTTTTTTTTAAAGAGCCACGTAGGAGAAGCTTCCATCCCCTTGGAGCTGCCTCTGTGGGGGTGGCGGCCACTCCGTGCTGCCGGGTCGGGGGGCGACGAGGGGACAGGGCGCGGCGCCGGAGCGAGGGGACCCCGAAGGGCCAGCAGCACGGGTGCCCAGTGCACCCCCTGGCTCAGGGCAGCTCCCAGCACCCGCCACGCCCGCCCGCGGTGGGGGGGCCGCGGCCGCCCTGGGCCCCGCCGGCTCACCGTCAGACCAGTGCATGGCGTCGTCCAGTGAGCTGGGGACGCCCCTCCACGGGGGGCTCCGGGCCGGGTGGCCAGGGTCCATGCGCCGGGTGTGCTCATCGTAGCGCCAGTACAGCTGGTCCTTAAAGAAATAAGTCTTGTCATTGTGGGCCCAGGAGAAGGCGGCGTCGACGCCGCCCGGTGGGAGGCCGAAGTCGGAGACGGGCCGAGGGAATCCTTCCTCTACGTTAGTGTCCTTAAACACCCAGTATCTGTCTCCTGGGGAGAGAAAGAGCCGGCAGGCGCTCAGCCCACCTGCACGCGGGGGCTCCAGCCTGCGCCTCCCCCCCGCCCCGCCCCATGTGATCCTGCTGCCCACCCCTCAGCGCCCACCTGTCCCCGCGAGCATTCACTGAGCACCTACTATGGGCCCGGCACCTGCCCCGTGCCTGACGCCTGACACCTGCCCCGTGCCTGACACCTGCCCCGCGCCTGACGCCTGCCCCACGCCTGACGCCTGCCCCGCGCCTGACGCCTGCCCCGCGCCTGACGCCTGACACCTGCCCCACGCCTGACACCTGCCCCACGCCTGACGCCTGCCCCGCGCCTGACACCTGCCCCACGCCTGACACCTGCCCTGTGCCTGACGCCTGCCCTGTGCCTGACGCCTGACACCTGCCCCATGCCTGACACCTGCCCCACGCCTGACACCTGCCCTGTGCCTGACACCTGCCCCACGCCTGACACCTGCCCTGTGCCTGACGCCTGCCTGCCCTGTGCCTGACGCCTGACACCTGCCCCGTGCCTGACACCTGCCCCACGCCTGACACCTGCCCTGTGCCTGACGCCTGCCTGCCCCGTGCCTGACGCCTGACACCTGCCCCGTGCCTGACGCCTGCCCCACGCCTGACACCTGCCCCACGCCTGACACCTGCCCCACGCCTGACACCTGCCCTGCGCCTGACACCTGCCCCGCGCCTGACACTTGTTCTGCTCCTGGCAGGGGGTCCTTCCACGTGGGGCCGCCTGAGCACCCAGGTTCTGAGAAGGCAGCCACTCTGCAGACTTGGGAAGGTCGGGGCCCACAAGATGCCCCTTCTCTGTCCTGCCCGATCCCCCTCTGAGAGGCGGGAGCTGGGAGCCTGTCTGTGGCAAAGACGAGAGGCTCTAGCCCGGCGTGTGTGCGCCCCTGTCGGACTCCACGCACAGGCAGAGAGCCCAGACGTCACCCACAACTTCGGATGCATATGCCGAACTTTCAGAAAATGGTTTTAAGAGGCTTTGGGGTGCATCTTTGACTCTGCTCCCGAAACACCGTGACGCTGCTCTGCCAGCGCCGCGTGGGGCCGTGAGAGTTCAGGCCCGCGCGGCGGCGCGCCCGCCCTCCGCTCAGCAGAAATCAACCTGGTCATTCAGCAAAAAAGACGCAGCGAAGCGTTTAGAAATCCTTTGCGAGACAAAGAGCAGAAACAGGCGTTTCACTGAAGGTCTTCAAATGGCCGCTCATCACACAGGAAGACGCTCAGTGTCGCTAACCATCCGGGAAATGTCACCAAAGCCACCGTCAGACACCCCTCACACCCTCGCGATGGTCACTCCGAAGCCCCCGCAAACGACCAGTGCTGGTGCGGACGTGGGGCAGCTGGGCGGCGGAGGGCGGCCTCTGAAAGGGCGTGGGGGGTCCTCGCTCGGCCGCAGGCAGAATCACACGCAGAATTACCGGGGGCTCGAACGCCGTGCCGCGTCGAGGCCCGGCACTGAGAGCAGGGACACGAAGTGAGAGATGCACACGCGTGTTCACAGCAGCATCGTCCCAACGGCTGACGAGTGGATGCAGCCCAAGGGCCCGTCGGTGGGTGAAGCGCACACACGGTGAGGTCTGCCCACACCGTGGAAGGAGGTAGGTCCTTAGAGGAAGCGGACCCTGACGCCCGCTGCCCAGCGGAGGGCCCTGAGGACATGTGATCAGTGACGTCAGCCAGACCCACAAGGAAACACAGTGCCCGAGCCCACTCGGGTCGGGGACCCAGGCACGTCAGAGCCGCGGAGACGGAGAGCCGGCGGCGGGCGCCGGGGCCGGGGCCGGGGTTCAGCGGGGACGGTGTCCCCTGGGACCATGGTGACGGATGCACAACAGCGTGACCGTGCCGACGCCCCGGAGCTGTGCCCTTCCCCGCGGGTAGGATGGTGAATTTCATGTTCTGTGTTTTTAGTCACATTTAAGAACATTTTCAAAAAATCCTTTGCAGGAGACCAGCAGCAGCTGGACCGCCTGCGCCCCGGGGAGGGGCACAGACATGGCGGCCCCACACAGGCACTGGGGTGGCCAGGGAGGCGGGCGGGGCGCGCGGCCCTGAGGGGCAGCCGAGCAAAAGCACAGGCCCGACGGGCAAAGCCGGAGCTGCGGGTTCCAGCGTGGGGTCTGCGGCCTCCACGCGTCGGAGAGCAGGCCGCGTCCAGGAGACGCCCCCGTGCAGGCTCGCCGCGGTGGCCGGGGCCCGCACTGAGGCTGGGCGGGGGGACCGCAGGGTGCGGGCGGGCGTCGGGCCCTGCAGCAGGGTGGCTTCACTCCGGGGTGTTCCAGCCCCGAGCTGGGGCTGGTCTGTCTGGAGGAGTGGACGCCCCGTCCTCCCGCCTCCGCGTGTGTGCAGTCGGGAGCGGAGGGCTCTGCCCCGGGCTTGCCCCGTCCCCGACACCCCTGGGGGCGCCACGGGGGCAGCCCCGCTTTCCCCTCAGCCGCTCGCCTCCGTGCCGCCCGCCGGGAGTCGCTGTTTAACCCGAAGCTGCCCTGCCCGGGAGCCAGCCTCGCACGGCAGGCCCCAGCGTGGGTGGGTGGGGCGGTGATGTCCCCTCTGGTGGCCCCGTCACCCTGGACCGACACCCAGACCTGGACAGAGCCCAGCTCCTTCGCACCTTGTGGCCGCCCTGGCGCCCGCGCCCCACACCTGGCTCCAGCCTCACTGACCTCTTTGGGCTCGGCCAGAACTTTCCTGCCCCAGGACCTTTGCACGGCCGCTCCCGCTGCCTGGGATGTGTTCTCGCGGGTCCACTGGAATTAACTGCCTCAGCTCTTCTGGTGCTAACCGTGTGCTCCCTGCCCCCCGCATGAGGGTGGGGACCCTGTGCCCCGGCCCCCGTGACCTGCAGAGCCCCACGGTGCAGGGCCCAGGTAGGTGCTCAGCAAACGCGCTGGTCGGTGCCCAAGCGCATGGGCGGCTCCCAGCGGCGCTGGAGCAAAGCACAGGGCGGCCCCGGGCAAAGGCAGGTGCGGGGCGGGGAGCAGCCAGGCGGGGCGCCCACCTTTGAAGAAGACGATCTTGTGGTCAGTGGTGCGCTCGTACACGGCGTCCACGCTGTCCAGGTGCAGCGGCAAGCCCCGCCAGAAGCGGTGCACCTGCGCCGGCTGCAGCGACACCAGGTGCCGGTCCCGGGTCAGCCGCCAGAAGTACTTGCCTGCGGGGACAGCGGCGGGGCTGCAGGGGGCGCAGGCCCGGGCCCAGGCCCCTCGCCCCGACGCCGGACCCTGCGCCCCGACACAGCGGGGTTACCTTTGAAGAAGAATGCCTCGCCGCGGATCTGGGCGACCGCGTCAAAGTGGGTGGTGCACCTGTGGGGCACGTCCTTCCTGGGCCTGGGGACAGAGGAGCTGGTGGGCCGCACGGCCCCACCCTGAGCCACCGCGGGAGCGTCGCAGGGAGCCCACACCGCGCCTGCCGCTCCGGGACGCAGAGGCGTTGCGTCGAGACAGAAAAGCAGATTAAAACAGGTCCCCGTCCGTCGGCCGGGACGGGACCGGGGTGAGTGGAGCACCGGGGACCCCTGCATGGACGGGCGCCAGCGGCCTCCGGGGCCAACCGGCCACTGCCCGCTGATGCGCGGACCATCGCGCCGGCGGCCCCGCCGCGGGTCCGTGGCTCTGCCCGAGGGAGGGCTCAGGGCCACGCGGCGGCGGCGGTGACGAGCCAGGACCTGTGGTGCCCACCTGACGCAGGGCTCGGCACACGGCAGGGCACAGGCCCGGGGCGCGGCAGGCGCTCTCAGGGACCCCGTCTCCCCACGGGGGTGGGGGGCTGGGCGGGGTGGGGGCCGGGCCGCGAGGCGGACCCCCTGCAGGTGCCCCCGGGGCCTTCAGGACTGAGCACCGTTGGGCCCAGGAACGTATTCGACAAGTGAAACAAAAGCGGTGCTGGAGCCACCCCCCGCCCCCCGCCCCGAGCTCGCGGGAACCCGGGCCGCCCCCAGCGGAGCCAGGAGAGCTCCAAACCGGTTTCAAAACAAAAGTGAAACCAAATAAAAGCAAACAGGCCTACATATCTGCATTTGTGCTTCTCGTGCTGTGCGGACATGCAGGTGGCCGGAGGCGGGCGTGGTGGGGGGGCCTCCGGGGCTCAGCCTGGGAGGCAGGCGGCTTGCGCCCGGCCTCCGTCCAGCCCAGCTCCCCGACGCTCCCCGGGACACAGCCTCTCGGACTCCGGGCCCACGCACAGGCCACGTGTGCGTGCGCGAGGCCCGCTGACCGCACCGAGCCGCCACCAGCGACGGGCCCCCTGCACTGCGGAGCAGGGGCCAGCCACCCCCGCCCTACACCGTGTGCCCTGCCCCAATCCCCAACCCAGAGAACCCCAAGCCTTTGAAACGGTGGTGTGACGCGACAGGGCAGGTGCTCGTCACGCACCCGTGAGTGACGAGGACAGAGGCTGAGAGGACATCACACGTGAAACTCAACACCTCTGCACGCCCGGGCTTGGGGGGCAGGTGTGCCCCCCACTGTCTGGGGGGTGTGGGGGGGAGCCTTGCTCAGGGCTTGGCGCGCAGAGCTGAGCTCCCTCAGAAGCGCCCGGAGCTTGGGACACCGAGCCGCTGCTGGGGACAGGGCTGCCACAGGGGAGACGGGCCCACGCTTACGGGGTGCTGGACCGGTTGTCGGGGGGCTCCGGCAGGAGGGGAGGCTCCTCGGGTCCTGCGCTGTCTGGCGGCGCCGTGGGGGACACGGACTCCCGCACACCTGTGCAGACAGGGAGGCTGCACGGAGCCCGGCTCGCCTGCCCCTCAAACCCCAGGGGGACCCAGGCAGCTGGCGGACGGGCCTGTGGTGCCCCGGGCACCTCACCCCACCCCCGCCCCCGCAACGCCAGTGCCGGGCGCTGACCCCGAATTGCCAACCGGCGTTCAGGCGGAAGCCTGTATGGGTGCCCCCGCCCGGCAGCACGGTCCCTAACGGCCAGAGGCGGGGACGCGCCCGGCGCCCGTCGGCAGGAGAGCGGGGAGAGGTGGCCATTCTGCCCACAAGGGACGAGGACCTGGTGCCCGCGAGGACGTGGTCGGAGCTCAGAAACAGGCCGCTCCCCAGAAGGAGCTGGCAGGAAGCTCCACGCGCCATCTGGCCCCCAACGCCCCGAACAGGCAAAGCCACGCAGATGGATGGAGGCAGAGGGTGGCGGCCGGCGCTGAGGTGGCAGCGCAGCGGCTGCCGGTGGGGACAGGCGGTGACGTCCTGGGACGACACAGAGGCGGGGGCCACACAGCACTCTGTGTATTAAAGTTGTCAAGTTGTGCACTTTAAAGTGGTACATTTTGCTACAGCGATGTGATCCCGACACCGAAGAGCGGCGGGTGCGGGGGAGACTGTGAGGGCGGGGAGGCCTGGAGGGCGACCTCGGAAGGCGCAGGGGGTGGGCAGGGATTTCGCCGTGGCCTCGCGGTCCCGCGCGGGCCTCCTCCTGCTGTATTTCCTGTGTTCCCCAGCAGAGGGCGCCCCTCCACGGGCTCCGGGCCAGGGCTGCCCATCGGCCCCTCCCTGCGGGTCTCGCGGCCTTAGCTTTCCCCGCAGGGACAGCAGCTCCCAGCTTACAGGTGGGAACAACCCGACGTCTGACACCTCAGTGCTGTGCCCGGGGCCTGGCGCCGTCCTGCTGGCCGTGGCAGCGGGGACCACCCGCGCTCGGAGGCCCCGGGCCGGGTCTGGGACCTCTGGCGACAGCACCGTTCGTTTACTCCGCACAGGTGCTCGCTGGATGCCGAGCGTGGGGTGGACAGACCGGAGAGCCCCTCTGTGGCTGGGGGCGCCCGGCTCCCCCCGTCCTGGGCCGCCCGGAGCGGGGCACTCACCGTACAGCTGCCAGACGCGCACGCGGTCGGCGTAGGGGAGCCCGTAGTGCAGAGGGTCGCCCACGGGGCCCCGGTAGTAGGGCTGCATGATGGAGCGAGGGGCCGCCGCGTGGCTCAGCCCGATGGCGTGGCCGAACTCGTGCACGGCCACCGCGAACAGGTCCATGCCCTGGGCGTCTGGGGATGGGGGAGCCGTGAGCCGGGGCGGGCCCTGACGGGGCCTCTCGGGCCGGTCTGGGGCCCAGCGGCAGCCCTGCGGGGGGACGGCGGCTCCACGCGCCGTTCACGGAGGGCAGCTGCCTTTCCGGGACAGAGGACACAGGGAGCCGCGTCCTGCCGTCCCCGGCCTGATGGCCCAAGGTGGGCCTGGGGGGCAGGGTCGCTGCCGAGACAGCCGGCGGGGCCCCTGGGGCCTGGACATCTAAGGAGGACCCGGCGGCTTCTCGGTCTTCAAGGGGTTCGGCGTGGCCCCCCCCGCAACACCCTGGGGTCTGTCGGGGCCCGGGCCACACAGGGTCCCCAGGGCTCGGCCTGGACGCACCTGAGGACCGGAAGGTCCAGGCCTCGTCGGCGTCGAAGTGGGCGTCCCCTGCAGTGTGGTGGTCGCCCGGGAAGAAGGCGTGGGCCACCGTGCCCCCGGGGCCGTCGAAGGGGTAGCGGTCGTTGTGGTCGGCCTGGGAGAAGTCCACCTGGATGTCGGCGGCGCTGCCGGCCACCTCGTGGAAGTCCAGGGGCGCGATGTCACTCCAGACCTTGAGGGCGTAGTGCATGAGCGCTCGCACGGTGTCGCGGCCCAGGGGCGAGTCCCGCGGGAACGTGCGGACCCTAGGGCAGGCGGGGCCAGAGCCGGGGATCGGGTCACCGGGAGAGGCCAGGCGCCCCCACCCCAGGCGGCAGCCTGCGCCCTGGAACGCCCCCTGCGGGGCCGGGGGTCGGGACCTGCGGAGACGGAGGGCTCTGCAGTGGGATATGAGGGGAGGCCGCCCTGGACTTGCGGGGAACCCCAAATCCACAGAGCGAAAGAGGAGGACACACACACAGAGGCCACCCGAGGGTGCAGGGACGGGGCTGGGGCGGACTCTCCCTCGGAGCCCAGGAGGAGCCAGCCCCGCGGCCGGGGGCCTCGGGCGTCCGCCTCCCGAGCCGAGAGGACAGGCCCGTGGACTGACGGCCCGGTGTGCGTGTGTCTCAGCAGCCGCCCCGGATGCTGAGCCCGGGACAGGCGGGGGCCTCCACCCACCTCCACGACAGGTTCCTCTTGTTCCACTTGGCCGGGGCTGGAGCCTGGCGCCGCCTGCGAGCGGGGGCCGCGGCCGGGAGGTCCGGCAGGGAGCAGCGTGGGGTCTTCATCAGCGCCAGGGTGGCCTCGTCTGCAGGGGTGGGCGGGGCTCAGGGGCCAGGCCCAGCGCACCCCCAGCCAAGGCCCAGCCGCCCTGAGGGCTGGCCGCAGCTACCGCGCCCGCTCCGGGGGCACGGGGTCACTCTAGGCGTCTACCTTGGGGCAGGGCTGTGAACAGCCACAGGGCCCCACGGGGACCCGCGTAGCGACCTTTCCCTGCACTTCGTGTGCCGCACACGCGTCCCCTCCAGAGGCCTGGGACAGACCCGAGGGGGTCTTTGCATGATTGGAGTTCACTGCCAGCGTGTAAAAAGTGGGGCGCTCACTAAAGTCCCCAGATTTCCGGTTCCCCTGGGAAAGCTGGGCGTTTGGGCAGCACCGGCCGGCACCCCACAGGGCAGGGGCGGGCCAGGCCCCGGGCGGCTGCCTGGCTGCGCAGCTTGGGGTGTGAGTCCCGGCCGCGCGGTGCGGGGAGGGGTCTGGGTCTGGGTGTGGCTGCGCCCACGGCCGGGGGCGTCGAGGATGACTCCGGAGGGGCTCCCCGGTGTGGGGCCCCTCGGTCCTGCCCTGACCCCCCACAGGAGCTGGGGGCGTCAGCCCGGGACGGAGGGGGGCTGCGGAGAGGCCGGGGCGGTCGGGCTGCGGGACTGACCCAGGACGCCGGTGGCCTCCAGGCCGGCGAAGCGCTGCATGGCGCCAATGGCCTTGGACAGCTCCTCCTGCGGCCGCAGCTGCCCCGGGGCGGCGTCCGCTGGGGGCAGGTAGCCGAACCTGCTCAGCCACTCCTGGGGCAGAGAGCGGCGTGAGGGGAGGGGGTCTCGGCCGCGCCCCGCCCAGCCCCCCTCCGCCCCCGAGACACCGCTGGCCCCGTCCTGAGGTGGCGTCAGGGCCCAAGGCCTGAACCCCGCGCTGAGAAGCGCAGCGGGCCGAGACCCCGGTTGGAGGAGTCAGGTCGCGGGCGGGCCAAGGGTGCCCGGGAAGAGCCCAGACTCCGGGGCCGGGTTCATGTTGCGCCCGGCACCGCCTTGCCGTGCGAGGGAGGCAAGTCCCCCCACCCCTCTGGGCTGCCCTCGTCTGCGGACGAGGGAGGGAGACGAGGACACCGCGAGACACCCCAGGAGAGTCCCCCGCCCCCAGGGGTCTGCCTGTGAGCTGGGGGCCGCCCTCTCCCGGCTCCGAGGGGCTCACGGATGAGGAGCGCCGGGCCGGGCGGCCGGGAGGCCGGGAGGCCGGGAACGCTCAGCTGTTTTGCGACGTTCGCTGACCTTGGAAAGCAGGCACGAGCTGCCGGCCTGAGGGTCGGCCTGCAGATCGCGGGGTGGGGGCCGAGCTCAGCGCAGGAGCCGCTCCCGGGTCAGCCGCCCCCGGCGCCCGCTGGCCTGGCAGCCCCGCAGCTCACAGTGCGTCGGTGCGAGGCTGAGGACGGGGCCACATCTAGGGGATCGGCGGGGGGGGGGCCTCACACCTACCCGCAGGCCGGGCTCGGAGGTCTGCACCCTCAGCCTCAAACATCCCACCCGACCCATGCGGCCCCCCTCTCCTCACCCCCAGCTCCTCCCAGGACCCCGAGGCCTCGGCAGGGCCGGTGGGCTTCCGCGCAGAGTGGGGGTGTGGGGACAGCTCCCTAGCTCCCCGGGGAGACCCCAAGGCTACCAGCAGGATGAGCCCCCCCGGCAGGTCTTGGGGGACGCAGGGGGACACAGGGACAGCCCCCGCCACCAAGAAGCCCCCGCCGAGCCCGGGAGGGGGCAGCTGGCACAGCCCCTTACTTGCCAGCTCACCCCGGCCTCGGAGGGCGCAGGCAAACTGCCCAGCAACTGGGGCTTAATTTTTTTCCTGGTCGCTGACACATCGTGAAGCATTGGAGGAAGCTGGGGGTGGCACGCGGGTGGGGGTGTTAACCGTGGGGAGAGCGGGTCCCAGGCGAGAGCCTGTCCTGCAGGCTGCGGTCCCTGCAGGGGGACCAAAACCTCCGGCCCCCGCAGCCAGGGCAGCCCCGCCCCCACCACCCAGGGGCCCACGGGGCGCACCAGCACCCACGGGCTCCCGCGTCTCCAGGGCAACAGGCTGCACGGGAGGGCGATGCTGAACCTTCCAGAAGGCGGGGAGGGGGCGGGGCCGCGGCAGGGGGAGGGGTTGGAGGATCCGAAACCACAGCGGCCCCGCCCCCGACCCCGGGACAAGCCGGGCAGGCAGCCGAGGGGGCGCCCCGCAAGGACCGGCGGCCGAGCGGACGCGCAGGCCGGGGACGGAGGCCCGGGGGGACGCTCGCCCCCCGCAGGCGCAGGCCTGCTGCTCTCCTGCCCCCGGTTCACGTTTCTCGCCCGGGGGCACCACGTGTGGCCACGCGCGGGGCCAACAGACGAACCGCGAGCCCCGCGCGCCCTCCGGGCTTTTATCCGTTTCTGGAGGTGCAGCCACCGCCGGGGCCGCGCTTACCGACCCACCACTGGGCCCGCAGGTCGCGGGTCGCAGGTCGCGGGTCGCCGGCCGCCCACCCCCCGTTTGTCCCGCAGCCCCTGGGTCCTCGGCGAGGGCGCCGCGCTGTGACGCCAGGATGCGGGTCAGCACGAAGGCGTCACGCGCCCTCCCCACGGCGCTGCCACTCGGTCCCCACTGACAGGGGGGGACGGGCAGGCACGCGGGCGGACACTCGCCGCCCCTGTCCTCCCCCCACACCCTCCTGGCCGCTGGTGCGGGGGGGGGGGGGCGCGTGCCGGGCTGGCGGCGGCCGGGGGCCTCGGGGACAGACGGATGGACGGTCAGCCCCCAGCCACAGTTCATCTCTAAGGGGACCAGCCTGGTGGTACCTGCCGCGCGGGGCACGGGCCGGCCCAGAGGGTGGGGTCGAGGGCAGCCCCTCCGCCAGCCGCAGACCAGACGCAGCGCAGCGAGGTGGGGGCGGAGCGTCGAGCCCCCCTGATCACAGCGACCCCTGAGCACGGCCACACCTGCTCCGTGCCCCCGTCGCCCCCTGCACCTCGTGGGGCGCTGCCTCCTCCCTTACGGCTGCGGAAACTGAGGCCGTGATCGCTGACGCCGGTGCTCGGCGCCGGGAGACCCCCGGCAGTCCATCCACGCACCCACCCCAAGTGCAGGCCGTGCCCTGAGCTGCGGCGGCCGCCCAGACCCGCAGAGCCCGCCCAGCTGGCACTCTGGGAGCACAGTCTCGGGGACCGCGACCAACACGCTGGGCGATTGCGTCACGACCGGTAAACAGGCAGAGGGATCCTGAAGCCTCACCGAGGTCGGACACCTTCCGTTCACCAACCTGCCCCAGGGAAAGCTGTGCGGGGACGGGGAGGGGCGGGGGCGCCCGTGGCTCGTGCTGGGCTCATGGCAGGCGCTCGGTGGAGGCCGCTGAGTTAGTGCTCGGGGCTCTGCCAGCCCCACGGTAAGAGGAGGAAACCGGGGCACAGCGAGGGTGGCTAGCACACGTGTCCGCGGCCGCAGGCTGAGGCGGCCGGCAGCGGGGAAAGCGAGGGCTCCCCAGCCAGCACTCGGGGGCGCGCCCTGGGGCAGACCCGAGGGTGCTCGGGAGGGGCCTGCAGGCCGGCGCCTGCCTGCGTCGGCCGGCGCCGTCCCCTGCCTCCGACAGCCGGGCGGTGCTGGGGCGCAGCCAGGGGCGGTCAGCTAACGGGCACCCGCCGCGTCCTGCTGGCTGCCCAGGGCGCTGCGGACAGTGAGAGGAGAATCCAGAAGCGCGAGCACCTCTCCAGGGCCCTGCAGAGAACACGGCTGCGCCGCGGGCCCTCTCTGCCCTCCGCGTCCCGCGTCCCCGCGTCCGGCAGCTGCTGCCATGAGCCTTTCAGGGCGCCGCCCGGTTGGCACCTCACACCCTGTCCTCATGGACCCATTGCCCAGATGAGCGGACCGAGGCTGGCGCTTTGCCGGGTTGCAGGCCGGTGAGCAGCAGCCACACCGCAAGGGGGCCGGGCCCTGCCCCGCGCAGCACCCACAGGCGGCCAGCACGGCCCTCCCAGCCGCCCGGCTCCCACACCGAAGCCACAAAGGCTCCTCAGTCAGTCTCTCCCCGCTGGCGGCCAGCCAGAGCCCAGAGACTGAATTTACTTGGTGACGACGTGGCCGGGGGTGGGCGGGGCTTGCGGAGCGGGCTGGGGTGGGGACCCTTCGGAGGCACCCGTTTACACTCATGCTCCCCTGGAAGGGGAGGCCTTGCCGCCCAGGGCGCTCTCTCCCTGTGCACCCCTCCCACCCCCCGGCTCCCGGCTGAGGGCAGGCGGCCAGCTTCACTGCGGAGGCCGCGAGGGACGCGCCTGGCCCCCCGCCCGGTCTATGACGCGATCCTGAGCCCTCGTGGGGCCCGCAGCCCCCCTGGGCGCTGGGACCAGGGACCCCAGGCTGAGGCCAGGGTGAGGAGGTGACGGTCGCCCCTGCCGCCCCTGCCCCAGAGCCGGCCGCAGGAGGGGGACGGGGAGCTCCCAGCGCCGGCGGGCCCCCACCCGCCAGGATCGCCCCTGCCCCGGTCGGCCCCCCGGAGCCGCCTGCCTGGCCACTCACACGCCATCTGTCTCAGCCACGAGCCCGGCACGCGCGGGCGCAGGCAGGTGCGCTGCCGGCGACGAGAGCGGAGGCCTGCTGGGCGCGGAAACCTCCGAGGGCACATTGGGGGGCGCGCTGGCCGCAGCACGTGTTGGGAGCGGCCCTCCTGTCCCTGCTGCCACCCCCGCCCCAGGGCGTGATTTCGGCGCCGTGAGCTGCGGTGGGGCAGGGGCGTCGCACGCACTGTCCTCCGGGACGGGCTGTGAAGGGGAGGCGGCGCGGGCTGTCGTTCGTGAGACGAGAGGCCGAGGTCCCGGGGCCCAGACACTTCTGGAAGGGTCCCGGGGAAGTGGGGGGCTCTGCACGTCCCCTGTGGCCCAGTGTAGGGCCTGAGGGCCTCGCTTGGGGGAGGACCTACTCAGAAAGGGAGAAAACCTCAGGCCGGGAGGGCGCCGGCAGCCCCTCTGTCCCACCCACCCTCCCGACAGCCCCCACCAGCAGGCACAGCGGCCTCAGACCGGCTTCGGTCCCCAGCTAAAGCCTCTGGGCCAGGGGAGTCTCTTCAGGAACCAGCCACAGCTCCAACCCATGGGCTCAGCTGTTGGGAGGACGCTGGGTCCCACTTACAAAGGGGCCCTTCTCTTCACTGACGGCTGCAGGCCTGAGTGTCCAGACACTGGGCGCCTGGCGGTCTGCAGAGGGGACGGGAAGGAGTCCCTTGTCCCTCTAAATCCCGGTGCCTCGCAGCCCCCTTGCGCCTCTGGGGCGCAGGCTCTGAGCTGTCATTCCCCGGAAGGCCACCAGAGGCCGCCCTCTGCCCACAAACCGGGCAGAGAGGCAGGACGGCTCTCCCACACCAGGCCTCCGGGGGTGGGGGCTCCCGGGCCCGGGCAGCGTCCTCTGCTCGCCCCAGGGGAACAGACGCCAGGGCCCTGCTGTCCCTGGGCTCCAGGCTGGCAAGCCATGTCCGCAGGCCAGCGCACCCCACAGGGCGCGTCCAGGTGACTGCCCGGGTGCTGGGGGGCCCATGGGAGCAGGAGGTGCCCAGGCAGGAGCTGGGAGGCGAGCACCTGGCCGCGCCGTCCAGGCAGCCCCGGGAAACTTCACAGCTGCGCTGGGTCCGATGAGCAAGTGTGGAGGGGCCGGAGCCCCGCCGCTGACTGTGACCCCCACTGGCCTTCCAGGCCGGGGTTCTACACCCACT